TGGTTAGGTGGCGACTTAGACGGGGCCTGCGGACTTTCAGGCGCTTCAGTCTGTGCAGGTGGGGGTGAGGACGGCGGGACATCCTCTGTTTTCAATTGCTGGTTCGATGCTTCTCCCTCAGAATTGGCGTGTTCGGCAAGAGAGGGAGCCGCCTTGCCTTCAGCAGATGACTCCGGAGATTTTGGTTGCGAGGACGTCTTAGGCATCACTGTCTTGATAAAGGTAGACACAATAAATTTGTCTTGGTGCACTAGACTACTGTCTACGTAGAATATTTGATCAGCGTGGCGGGCAAGTAGAAGGTTCGGATGCAGAGCCTGCTCACCGAGAATGTCAACAGTGGTACCTTCAGGGAGAAATGTGTTCTCGAAGTTGACGCCTTTTATTAACCGCGCGGTGCGGGTGAGCTGTGTGCATTCTTCGTTGCCACAAAAGATAGCCTCGCCATCTTGGGTGGTGTCTGTGCTAGCAAACAGAGTGATCCAGCAGAGAATTGAAACAGCCGCTACCGAGCAGGGCCTTAAAGAACGCATTTGGCGACCAGCTAAAAGGGGAAAACATCAAAAAATCAGGAAGATGCGGTTATTTTCTGAGATTCCCACTTTTTTATTCTCGGATTGCTGGCTTAACGTTCTCCTTTTAGCTTACCTATAGGAAGGTACTTAACAGTGAGAAGACAACTCGTAAACCTAAGATGCTCAAAATATTTGAGAAATAATATGACTTATGGCTACAACTAAGCCGTCAAATTAACTAACACGTACAACGTCCCATAAAAAGCGAAACACAAATATATGCCTTAAGTTAAAACTTGGTTACTGACAGAGAAAAGTTGTATGTTTATTTGTGTGGTTACAGATCCCGTCTCCTCTTATAGGTGGATATTGCTGAAGGAGGCACGGATGCCTCAGGTTTCTTTAGAGACCAGCTCAGTCAACCAAATTAGAGACTATCCGCGGTCTCGAAAATACCCAACTCTGGTAGATGGACGCACACTGATCGGTAAGGAACTCACTCGTCTGGTTGTGCCTTAGGGCTGGATCTCGAGCCCCGGTAGCAGCCGCTCAACGGCTAGTATAGTATGAGCAGAAATACATTCCCGGTAAAAGCAGGGGAGATTGGAATGGTCGATGAAGACGGCTTATAAGCCAGAAATGGCCATTCCTGTCTCCCTAGTCTTTGTCAGTAATGTATTTCAGCCTATAATATAATAACCGTTGAGCGTCTACTGGCGGGGCCTAAGACGAAATGGAACGAGTAAATCCCGCTCATCCGCTAGTGTAAATATTCCCGGTTGGAACCGGTAAAGCGAGGAGACCGTGACGCAGTAGGTAGAGCGTTGCACTTCTAGCCATCAGGGTCACAGATTCGAGCCTCGGGGGTCGCTGCCCCAGAGATTAGGTATAGCTGGCTGACGACATTCCAGAAATGGTCATTCTAGTCTCCCTGGTCTTTGTAAGTAATAGATACCTAACTGTAGTCTTTTCAGAGGAGACGCTGCAGATAGTATATTTATGCGTCTTCGCACGAATTTCGGACTAACAGTCAATCGTAGGTTAGAGTATCTACATCTGACCACATCGGTATAGCATAGAAGAGTTAGGCTTTTGATAGAGGCGACGACAGCCTCGCCCCCTCCAGCCACAAGTGCTTGGGTTTGTTTAGAGGGATTAATATATGACAAAACAATAAGTTTCTGTTGGTAGCAGCTGCGACAATGCACCAAATCTCTTGTATATTTAAATACACAGTTTCAACTTTTACTGGCGGAAGAACCGCTCAGGTGTGTGAGGTCTAGTGTATCCTAAATAGCCTATAACGATGTCAGAGTTGATACGGAGGACCTTGACTGTTATGTCAGACGAACTCCAGTCGCAATAGGACCTTCTGTGGGTTTTGAAGAAGATAAGACAGACGGTGTCTGTGACAATCATAAAAGAACCTTTGACTCAATATCGATTTCCTTTTTTTAATATAATCGGCCGTCTGCAACGTCTTCTGTCACACTAAACGGGGTGCCTAACGTTTTAGTAGCGAGAGATAGAGCCTCGGCAAGTCCTTGTCGTGGACCCATTAAACAAAACGCCAGTACAGACTCTTGTCATGGCGGCGATAGGCTAGACTTGTTGGAGGCTAAGTTTAACTTCTAGCAAGGGCTTCTGGGGTTTGTAAGCGAAGCAGTCAAGAGTTAATTGAATCTTCTCAAACATGGTCCGTAGCAAGGCAATGTCGCGAGAATGGCCGAAGTCAGAAGCGAGATGTTGCTCTACCTGGACACCATCTTGTGATGGTGGTGATGGTGCTGGTGTGATCAGAAGCAGTAAAGATAAATGAGGTAACAAAGTTTTTTTCAGATTATATATTTCACAGTAAAGGTGTGGCTTTCTATGTCTTCTGCTCAAGATCCAGTTCAGGCAAGCCGCTATTTTTGTATTTTGAGTTCTGAGAGTTTTAAGAATGTTACTTAAGCAGATGTGCTCCTCGGTGGCTGTATCCGACAGTCGTTGGAAAATTACTTTGAGAATTCAACCAATGCAACATGAATGATCGAAAATAAACTTCCTCAAGGAACATTCATATATCGAAAACTTAATTCTCCTTCTGAATTACCAGACAGAGTGATGATGCTTTTTTATCTCCCTCGACAGAGGAAAAGAGTTTGATATATGTCGGTCGGAGTTTTTCTCTAAACCATACGACAAACTTAAAAATATTTTCTGAAGGTATTTCCGAAGAAATCTCCTTCTTTCTAAGAGAACGAGTTTTCAACCCACTCCGGCTATCATATGTGACAGTTTAACTGGCTTCTATTACCCAGAACCGTGGGTGAGCGCAGCTACGTTGTCAGTAACTGAGATGCGGCTGGCATACAAAACAGAGATGAGATCGACATCCAAACGATGCTTATGACAAGATTTTTCCAACCGCACAAGAGTGTTGCGGGCTAGACTTGATGCCCTGGTTACCAGAATGCTTCCATGTATCAATAATCTGCCGAGATAGTTGTACTTTATGGTCGTTAACCTCGCACTCACGAAAGACACACAAACAAACAAAAAAAGTTTTGGAACATTCATGTGATAATCAGACTGTAATTATAGATAATTTATGGGAAAATTCAAATTCAAAGCAGTACAAGGAGATAATCCCTCTAATCAGTGGTCTCCCTGTTATGACAAAATGACAAGGATGCATCATGCCACCATAAAGGTGAGGCTCTCTTGACGAAGTTACCGTACCTCACCTTATGGGCGCAATACTGCCGACCTAAACTTCGAAATGCCCAGTCACTAAAGGCGAAGCCGGAGAGTTCAGTCGAAAACTTGATCTGACAGAGTCAGTAAAAATTTTAAAAGAGTTCCTGGGCCTTGGTAAAACTTGCGGTCAACGGTCACCATATATGTTGTGATGGTAATACTGCGCGTCTCACCAGCTCTAGATTAATGATAAATCAACGGAGAACAAATGTGTTTCGCTACTGGAAAAGGTAGTAACTATGCGGTTTGACGACGGTGCACCGCGATCGGTGGACGAGAAACGTTTGTAACGTCCAGTGCTTTAATGACTTAATGCACACCCACCTTCCGACTGTAAAACCATACGTCTTTTCAACTTCTGTATAATAACTCTGTTAAAAGCCTATCATTCTATGCTGCGCGTGCGGAAATAACAGTTCTATACCATTGAAAATTAACGATATGCACTACAGGGAAGCATTCTGCGGTAGAGATCACAGAATGTACGCTTGTCGGATTTCAATGTAAATAGCCTGCAACTGCTGCTAAAGTAATGCGCATGGAAGGTTCAAAACATATAATAATAGATTAAGAAGCATCGTCTTATTATTTTTTATTGATATCTGCAGGCGCTGCCGAGGAATACATTTATGCTTCCATCCACTTTACAAACACAAATACCACTGTAAAATCACAGAAAAATTGATTCGAAAAGACGTCAACAGACGATTTTGACTACTTCTGCATATAAGAGCGGAAATTCCATAGTCTGAGTGATAACTAATTTAGCCACGAGAGACCCAACCAAGTGGCCAAATATTCAAG